TCGAAGATCTATGGGAAGCCTCCATGGTCATATTCGGCATCAGCATGCTCGATAACCTATAACCCCTATAATATTTTGGTTCAAGACCTTCAGGTTTAACTAGAGGCAAGAAAGGGTTAATATGCAAAGAAACAAAATGACAGTGTGCACAAAAGATATACAAATCTTTCGACAGAACTATGAGAAGCATTTTGGAGATACAAGTCCAATTCCAAAACTCACATTTCCGTTGTTTTTACCGTTCGACGATCTGCGTTTTCTACATTTCAGGTTTCCGAGATTCTTCGTTTCGATCTTATGCATCCTGTGTTTTCGCTTTCGGTGTTTTGAGTTTTCGATCAAAGGCATACATACCGTTTATCTCATACTAACAAATGTCATTTGTTGATGTTTGTTGTTTATTTTATATTTTAGTTTTTATTTATTGTCGTCTGATTCTACGTAGCCTACATCTAGGTTGCACGTTTGTTAGTCTGTTGTTGTTTATCGTTCATGTGTGCACTGGAATTCTTGATTTAGATAATAGCACGAATCTCGAGTTTTATTTCAGGAAAATCATATCAGTGCATAGTATACTTGAGATACATTATCGATCTATGCTGATATGCTTTTTTCATCTTTATTCGGTATATCGTTAAAATATTTATGCATGAAAAATGAGGTTAGTATTTGTATTTTGCATTATGTTTTGGATTGATTTGCATGCAAAAAGGGTCCTATAATTTGGTAGAACAACTTTATGTTAGTAGAATGTTTTGATTAAAGTCACAATCATTAAATTGATTAAAGTCAAATCCTTTTGTGGTAATAAAGAGTTATGATCACCAACAACTTTTACAGAACTCTGTACATTAGTTCCAGATATTCTTAAGGGAAATTTTCCATATATTGCTATTTCAAGAAGTTGTTTACCTAGAGTAGAGCACTTAATATAATACGAACTTTTATCCTAAGAAAACGATTGCATCCAATACCACAAGCGATCTTCAAAGAAAGTCATGCTATTTAGTTTATTTTCTATCTTTCGTATGTTACTACAGGGTCCGTAATAATCAATCATTTTTAAACCGAGTTAGCTTTCGTCGAAAAACTCCAAATACTACTCCGCCAACAATGAATAATAATATGAATGAACGGGTAAAACAAAGTGCTGTAGCTGCAATGCGATCTTGTATTGATACACTTTCAGAAACAGCTAGGTAAGAATATACTCGTAATTTATAATTGAAATAAATCCTAAATTTTTTCAGTATAACTCAATCAAGTGTATTACCACATGACGTTTCATCTTCTGATACCGAGGATGATCATGCATACGCTTGTCAAGACGTCTCATCATTAACTTCGGCTCATAAAAATGCAATACGTTTTATGAGAAAAGCAAAATATTTTGTTGCTAGAAGAAAATTTCGTGAGGCACTTCGACCGTATGATGTCACTGATGTTATTGAACAATATTCAACAGGGAATGTTGATATGTTAGCGCGAATGAAATATTTACAGCTGAGGTAAGTTATTCTTCGCTGATATCGAAATTTATTTTCATGCAAAATATATAAGTTATATATTTATCATTTTAGGTTAGATAAAGTACTTGGCTCATCAAAAACAGCTGACAGTTACGAGTCGGGTCTCAGTTTAGCATCTCGAATTGTTAAAATTGAACGACAGGTGAATAGCATTAGCTAACAAATGATAATAACTTAAGTATTTAATCTTTCAGGTCGAAGGTCTTGATGTGAAAGTTGATAAATTATGCCAATTGGCCAACAACGTATTAGAAAATCGTCCTCGTCATTCTTCTTCGACTATCAGTCGAATGTTTATTCGACCCACTCCACGAAGACGTCGTTCTCATCGTCGTATAACACATACACAACCACACAATGAACAACAATCTCAAGCGTCTTCATTATTTCAACAAAATGCAATGGAATTCAATAGATCAAATACAGATCTACCAAGTACTACTACTACTACTAACACAATTGTAACACGAAAAACGAAGCCCACTCGTCCTCCATTTCGTACATTAGACAGGCCGAGAACTTCCACGTCCATGCTATCGACAGAAACAAATAATTCAACTTCACATGGCAGCCTTGTTAGTCTCTATTGGCTATTTAACGATAATATTAATTCGTCTCGAACTGCATTTGTATAGCATTCGGACTATTCACTTGATAATTAAAAGACACATCGTTGTAGTCAGATATACGAAATGTAGTTATGTATTGTAAGACTTATTATTATGACCGGTGCCACATTTATTCTCTAATATGCAAAAATTATTTGCACTATCTCATTCGCTATACATTTTTCTTAACTCTAGCTTTTGTAGTTTCTATTTTGTAATGTTATTTTTTGTGGTAATTTATTACTTTCGTTAAAAATAATATTGTTTTCTTTCCTTATGATAAAATATTCTGCTTTTTTTAAAATGCGAACTATGAAAACCTGTTAATATTTCCAAATTCGCGCTTGTATAAACGGAACTATAATTGTTAAATTCAATTTTTTATGTTATTACGACTTGTTTAAGAAGTATGAAGTACTACTATCAAAAAACTTGACCAGTTGCGTGGATCAAAAAACGTTCAAGAATATCTCAGTGTGAGTAGTCAAATACACGGAGAGAAGTGTTTTAAATTCAATTTTACTCATACATCACCGACAGATTCTTGGTGTTCTTGTGATGTTTTAAAATATCATCATTGCATAA